AATATATTTAATTTCATGCAAGAAATGCCCCAAACAATATGTAGGAGAAACTAAGAATAATTTACGAACTCGCTTTAATGCTCATAGGTCAGACATCAAATTAAAGAAAGACAAGCCTGTTTCTAATCATTTCAACCTCGACGACCATTCAATAGACGATCTCACCCTAATCCCAATTGAGCGTATAGAAATTGACTTGCCCGAAGATGAAACTACCAAATTCCGTCAATCTAGGGAGGCCCATTGGATTGAGACAATGAATACAGCAAGACCTATAGGACTAAATATTCATCATAATGTAGGCATAGCACCCTTTGTTGTCCCGTTTAATACAACCAGCAATCGAGCAAGCAAGATAGTTCATGCCCACTATAAGAGCGTGGGTACTCTAAACTATTTTTACGAAACATAAAAAATTCCACTTTAGCACAGATAGCAGCTAATAACAGACTTTATGCCGAAGTACCTCCAGGTTTAAGAAGTGCTCCATGTTTGTCCAGTAGATGCAAAACATGTCCCTTTATATCATATAACTCATTATTTTGTAAGCAACTCTACGAATAAAAGGTACCCGATCCAGGAACATCTAACATGTGAACATTCGAATGTAATATATTTAATTTCATGCAAGAAATGCCCCAAAAAATATGTAGGAGAAACTAAGAATAATTTACGAACTCGCTTTAATGCTCATAGGTCAGACATCAAATTAAAGAAAGACAAGCCTGTTTCTAATCATTTCAACCTCGACGACCATTCAATAGACGATCTCACCCTAATCCTAATTGAGCGTATAGAAATTGACTTGCCCGAAGATGAAACTACCAAATTCCGTCAATCTAGGGAGGCCCATTGGATTGAGACAATGAATACAGCAAGACCTATAGGACTAAATATTCATCATAATGTAGGCATAGCACCCTTTGTTGTCCCGTTTAATACAACCAGCAATCGAGCAAGCAAGATAGTTCATGCCCACTATAAGAGCCTTCAAGAGAAATTCCCCCATGTCTATAAGCAGAAAATGATAGTTGCATATTCAAAAAATAAGAACTTAAATGATAATATTGTTCATAGTAAACTAAAAACAATCAGTACATAACAGATACTATACTTCTCGCCCATCGGGCGAGTTATTTGTTTTAATTTCAGATCAGAATAAGAACAAAAGAAAACCCAATATCAAGACCCTTAATCCTAATTTTTAAATAAAGTGTCTGCTCCACCCTAGGCCTGTACATTTGGGAGAATCAAACCCTCCCTTCCCCGAAATCTATTTTTCATTGGCACTCGGCTTAAGCTTCTCTTGCTTCAACTTTCCGTGCAAGATGTGCATCCCGCGCTGTTTGATGTTCTTTGGTTAAACCGTCTGCCTTTTTAAGATTATCATACAATGCGCAAGAGTCACACATATCTTTACTAGGTTTATGGAAACCCAAATTAAACTTTTCGTTGAATATTTTACGATAAACATTTTCCTTTACGGGTCC